CAGGAATTCAAGGCCAGTCTCATAGCAAGTTTGAGGCTAGCCTGCACTATATAAGACCCTGTCTCAAAAATGAGGAGGAAAAAGCAGGCAAGTGATGGCATTAGGAAGGCAGAGGCAGGCAGATCTCTGTGAGTTCGAGGCCAGCCTGGTCTACAGAGTTCCAGCACAGCCAGGGCTACGCAGAGAAACCCTGTCTCAAAAAATAAAAATAAGATAAAAAATAAAGGAAGAAAAAAATCTGTTATTTTGCAATTGTCCTTACTTCTACCTAGATGTACTATTACTTTAATTTTTTAGTAAACAAATATGCTTTGGAGAACCTGTGAGTAAAAAGTGGAAGAAGGGACTAATACTGTTCACTATTTGTGAAGTCCTGGGTTCTACCTCTAGTCTCTTGCTCACTGGTTCTATCTCACATATAAATGTAAAAATAACCCAATATTTTATCATTGAAATTGAGATTAAACTAGTTAATTTTGTTTAAAACCTTTTAAAATTAGATTAAATTAAGAAATTTCAATTGTTAATAAAATATACATAGCATAAAATTTGTCATTTTAACGACTTTTCAATATACAGTTTTGTGGCAGTCATCATCACTACTCATCTTGAGAATTTTCCATTTTCTTAGACTGAAAATAGTACTGAACAGACTCAGTCCTCCTTCCTCCAACCCCTGGAAGCTACCAGTCTCCTTTCTGTTTATGTTTTATTAAAGCCACTGGAGATAAAAATATCAAAGCAGTCATACTAGTTAGCTATAAAAGCTAGGTGGTGGTGGTACACACCTTTAATCCCAGGACTCAAGATTAAGAGGTAGCTGGATCTCTGTTAGTTCAAGGCCACAATGACTACACGAAATTAATCCAGTCTCAAGAGAAACAGCTAACACAAAGGTAATCCCAGCACCTGGAATCGCATGCCTTTAATCCCAGAACGAGGGAGGTGCAGACAGGAGGGTATGGCTGGGTGGAGAAAGGAATAAAAGGAGGAGGAGGCAGGAACTGAGAGCTTTTGCCTCCGAGGATTCCTGGAGATAGGATTGACATTTCAGCTGGGGTAGATGTAAGATCTACTGGCTTGGCTGTTTTGCTTTTCTGATCTTCATCTTGAAGTTTGAACCCCAGTATCAGTCTCCGGGTCTTTTATTTTTCATGTTACACCTTTGTGTCACTCAAAATGTGTGTGCTCTAGGTGGCCCATATGAGAACACTTAGGAGTACATGTTCTTTTGTGACTGGCACATTTCACTTAGTTATAATGTCCATAGGCATCATCCATTTTGAAGTATTGTTTCCTAGGTTTTAAGACTCATGTACTAGCCAATGTATATATCATATTTTGTTTACCTGTCCTCTACCATTTTATATATATATCTGTGTGATTGCGCACATGTGGACCCATGTGTGGAGAGGCCAGAGACATTAGGTGTACTGTTCTGTTGTTTTTTTTATCTTATTTTCTTGTGATGTGGCTGAAGCTAACTCTAGGCTGGTGACCAGCAAGTTCCATGGATCCTCTTCCCGTCTCTGTCACTCACAACACTGGAGTCACAGGTGTATGTGGCCATACCTGGCTTTTTACGTAAGTGCCCAGGACTTGCACTCAGGTCTTCATGGTTCCCATCCTGTTCCATATATTTTTTATTACTACATAATATTCCATTGTATGCATGAGTGTTTGGATGTTTAGGTTACATTTAGATTTTCAGTATATTTTCCAAATGTGTGTGTGTGTGTGTGTGTGTGTGTGTGTGTGTGTGTGTGTATGTGTATTCTGAAATAAACACTTATGCTCAGTTACTTCCTGGGGCAAGGTCTATAGTGGGTTTCATAGAGTATTTATGTTTTACAGTTTGATAAGCATACCAAATTTCTCTAGCAAGTACCCATTTTCACTCCTTCCTATTATTAATGAGAGTGCAATGTCTCAGGACACATGTCACTATAAGTTCTTAAAAATCGTTTTGTTCTTTGTACAATTGAACAGAAAAAAAACCTACTTCATTGTTGTTCTGATTGTCTGTTAGAAATCAAATGATGCATAGCTGCTTTTAAGAGATTTTAAAAACACTGTCATGGTTCTGAAGAGCAGTGTTGGCATAAGTGGATAGTGTCCCAAGGTGACAGTTTTGAAAGGCACATTGGTGAGAAGCTCTCATGTCTGTGTTAATGGAATGCTATCCCTCTTTTTAACTACACACCTGACATGCTTGAGCAGCTGCTTGTATTGAGTACCCTGCTTGGTGTAGCATCCTTGTTGCCAGAGAGATGTGGTGCTAAGACCCCTGTCCTATGGAACTGCAGGAACACCTCATAGTAGCCCAGAAATGACACCCCAATAGCATGCTTCCCAGGGAAGTCCTGTGGAAGTTTCCTATCAGAGCTGATGTGGATCAGATCACACAGATTCATCAGTGCATAGAGTCAGACTATTTAACAGAGAGCTGCCTGCTGATGCTGAAGTGTGTTGAGGCCTTTGTAACGAAGGGCCGTTGAACACATTCCTTTGTTGTAAGCTGTGCTGGAGCAGATTCACTTTACTAGGAAAGTTCTGTAGTTTTTTGTTTTAGGGTTTTTTTGGGGGGGTTGGGGGAGGTACTTCAGTGTACCTTTTTTCTGTTCCTTGCTATTTGGTTTTTGGTGCCAGAACACTCACTACATTTGGTTTTGCAAGGAGAGCTAGATGGTGTGAAGGTGAAAGGGACAACCCTTTTGCCATTGGCTAGCTGCCTGCCTTTCATGGAGGGAAAATAGCTGATTGTTGCAGGGGGCTTGCAGGTGGCAGGCTGAGGCTGATAGATCAGCTTCTTTACAAGGCATTCTGTGCTCCATGCCCCCTCTATGGTTATAGAAAAGACTTCATTTTTACAAATGGAATTTAAATGTTCACTTTCAATTTTGTAATTATTTCATCAATATACTGACATGTTAACATTAAAGAGATCTGTTATTTCAGGAATGTAGAATACCTACCACATGATATTGGAGGCATAGCAGGCCTGTCCTGCATAAAGTTTTGTTTAGGCATGAGATACTTAGCTTTGCATTTTTCGTTAGACTCTGTAAGAGATGTAGTCCGTAAACCAGGTATAAAGGAAAGAGAGTAAATATTAGTGTGTCTTGGTTAAATTTCTTGATTAGCAATGTGCTTCAATCACATTTCCTTTTAATATTAGTGCCTTTAAGACCCACTAGATATGGCAGGCAGAATTTTGAAAAATTTTAAAAATCAATTATTTGTCATGATTTATGTCATTAGATTTTCTCCTATGTTCCCTTTCTAGAAGAAAAATGACAAGAATCTTTCATCTTTTCTCCCTCTCTTTTCCCTTGTCTTTCTACTGGGAACCAAACCCAGGGCCTTGTATATGCTAGCCAAGTACCCTTCTTTATCTCCAGCCCCAAAGGTGTGTATTTGTGTTCCGTGAGTGTTTATGAATATGTGTGTGTGGGTGTGCTGTATATGTATTCAGGTGTACATGCCCATGTGTATGAGACCAAGTGAAGACAGTGTGTGTTGTGCTCAATAGCTCTCTGCCTTATTCCTTTGAAATAGGGTCTCTGTACCTGGAACTAGGCCAGCAACCAGCAAGCTCGGGTGATGCTGTTGCTTCTGTTTACCTTAGTTTTGGGGTTACAGGCCAATGCTTCTTCTATGCTCAGATTTTTATTTTTGAGATTTACTTGATTTTATGTACATGATTGTTTTGCCTGTATGTATATGTGTGTATCATGTGTGTGGTTGGTATCTATAGAAGTCAGCTGTCAGATTCCCTTGCACTGTAGTTACAGATGTTTGTGAACTCCATGTGGGTGCTGGGAAACAAACCCAGGTCCTCTGGAAAAGCAGTCAGTGCTCTTAATTGCTGAGCCATCACCAACCCCCACACCTGTCTTTTTTTGTGATTTCTAGGGATTTAAAACTAGTTGGGTCTTGCTGAGGTGGTGGTGATGCACAGCTTTAATCCCATCATTTAGGAGGCAGAGACAGGAAAATCTCCAAGTTCCAGGACAGCTGGGGCTAAGGAAAACAGTGTCTTGAAAAACAAAACAACAACAAGAAAACAAACAAACAACAAAATATTAGTTTGGTTTGTAGGGTCTATTTCCTAGACACAGTATGTATTATTCTCTATTGAATATTCCCAGCCAACTGAGAAAGTTTGATCTAGTCTGTATAATAAACATTATTACATGTAGTTTTAACAGGATGAAGGAAGCAGTTCTTATAATTAGGTTTCTAAAATAGGAAATTAATCTTGTGGCAAGGCAGTTTTGATTAACACATCTTTTATTTTTAAAACATAGTACCTTTGTTTTAAAGATTTATTTATTTATTATGTATACAGAGTTATGCCTGCATATATGTCTGCAGGCCAGAAGAGGGCACCAGATCTCATTACAGATGGTTGTGAGCCACCATGTGGTTGCTGGGAATTGAACTCAGGACCCTGGGAAGAGCAGCCAATGCTCTTAACCTCTGAGCCATCTCTCCAGCCCAACATAATATCTTAAGAGAAAGAAAAAATGTTTATTGAGCAAAATTACTTTGGTGATAAACTTTTGTAAAATCCCTGACAGCTCAAAAAACTTCTTGTCCTTTTAAATTTATAGCCATGAGACTAAACTGTAAGTGCAGGTGAGTACTGTAGCATATCACTTTGATAACACCTTGTCCTGTACCTTCACTCTAGACCTCACAGCGTCATGAGCCGGTGCATGGAGTAGAGGGAGAAGGAAGGAAAACATTTATTACGATGTGTTTCCTTGCTTTGAGTAGCCTTGCTAAGTGTTGCTGTGATTTGCTTGCAAGAGAGCCATAGGCACTGGTGCTTATAAGGACTTCCTTTCAGTTTAGATTTAATCCATTTAAGCTCCTGGGTACAGGGATAATGTTGGTTTTCAGGGTAGACTTTTACCACATTGAGTTTGTTTGAAAAATGATTCAGCCATGTTTTGCATGTTTCTTAAATATTGCTGTGTGCATCATGTTTCTAGGTAGGTGAGCCTGTGAAACAGTATGAAGAGGAGAAAATAGCCTTTTAAAGAAACTGGCCCACAGAAAGGATGGCCTTCTTGGACAATCCAACTATCATTCTAGCTCATATTCGACAGTCACACGTGACCAGTGATGACACGGGAATGTGTGAGATGGTTCTCATTGATCATGATGTTGACCTAGAGAAGACTCATCCTCCTTCTGTGCCTGGAGACAGTGGGTCAGAAGTTCAGGGAAGCAGTGGTGAGACTCAGGGCTACGTGTATGCCCAGTCTGTCGATATTACCTCAAGCTGGGACTTTGGTATTAGAAGACGCTCAAACACAGGTAAACTGTCTTTAGTTGTCTTCTTAGCTTCAGATCAGTAGTCAGCCAAGAGATAATGGGCAGTGTTGGAACAAGTCCCTTAGAGAATCTCTGCCTAGTCAGAGACTGTGCCTGAGCATCTCTTGTGTAAGTGGAAGAACTACGGGTGCGGGGCTGTTAGGAGGAAGTAGACAGGAGAGCCTTATGTAGGTAGATGTTACCTTTAGCAAAGGAAGAGGCTCTGTTTTGAGACCTGAGAGCCACCCAGTAAATTTCCTTGGAGGAGATTCTAGGATGACAATGAACTCTTTATATGGGAACAGGCTAGCCTAGGAGTGCAGGCAACAAAGTCAGTACAAGAACAGGCTAGCCTAGGAGTGCAGGCAACAAAGTCCCAACTCCTGGAGGAGCAGTGGGATGTGGGGCAAGAGGGTGGGTTTTAATAGGATTCATACATGGGATGAGGGAGGCACAAATGCTCCTGTTTTGATGCTTTCCCCTGATTTTCTTTAGTTGATCGCTAACCTTTGATATCAGTGGTTTGTGAATGCTCAAATTTGCCATATATATTTAGTTCTTATAGAGGCTTATCATTGTCCATTGTCCAGTTGATAGTGCTTTTGTAATCTTTCCAGGAGAATGCAGTGTGCCAAGGCTTTTATTGATAGGAGTGGAGGGAGGAGGGGGAAGGGAAGAGAGAACACATATATAAATACATATACATACATGCATACATATGAAAAATGGTATTTTAGGGATTTTTTTTTTTTTTTGGTTTTTACGAGACAGGGTTTCTCTGTATTGTTTTGGAGGCTGTCGGTCCAGCCTGGCCTCGAACTCACAGAGATCCGCCTGCCTCTGCCTCTCGAGTGCTGGGATTAAAGGCCTGTGCTACCACTGCCTGGCAGGGATCTTTTTTTTTTTTTTATTTTTTAATTTAAATTGAAACAAGGTTGCTTCACATGTCAATCCCAGCTCCCTCTTCTTTCCCTCCCCTCCTCCCACGCCCTCCCACCAACCCCCCCCCAATACCTCTTCGTTTCCCCAGGGAGGGTGAGGCCCTTCATGGGGGTTGTCCATAGTCTGTCATTTCATCCAGGGCAAGGCCTAGACCCTCTCCCAAGAGTCCAGGCTGAGAGAGCATATCTCATTGTGGGATGGGCACCCAAAGTCCATTTGTATGCTAGGAATAAATACTGATCTACTACCCAAGGCCCAATAGATTGCCTCAGCCTCCTCACTGATGCCCACATTCAGAGGATCTGGATCGGTCTCATGCTGGATTCCCAGCCATCAGTCTGGGATTCAAGATTCTTTTTTTTTAGATCATCATAAAATATAATGAGACTCAGTAGCAGTAACCTGTTAATCCCAAAGAAAGGGAGTGGCAAGAGATGAACAGCACTGAAAATGTTTATTTTCCTGTTCCAAATGTAAAATGTTAACATGGGAGTCTATTGGCAGAGCTGGGTACACCTCACAGTGAAAGGCACAATGAATGTAGTATCTGTGATATCAAAAAGAATAGTTTGTCCTTAAGATGAAAGTAACTAATATCACTTCCCAGTATCTAGAGAGACTTTATAAAAATAGTGTTTGAGTGAAGTTTGCATGTAATTTAGAGCCATTGGTGCTTAGTGCTCTAATTGGAACACCCTTGTAAGTCACTATGATGATATCTTCTGTGACAGGCTGGGTAGATTTTACCAAGAAGATGCTGCCCAGTGAGAACATTAGGATGCTATTACTGTGACTGCACCCTCCATAGTTACTAATTGCAGTGGAATGTATTTTTCCTCAGTGGATTTGGTTAGGTATAGTGACATTGTCAGAATTTTTTTTTGCAAACCAGGGCATTGGAGGCACACACCTTTTAATCCTAGCACTTGGGAGACAGAGGCAGGTGTCTACAAAGCTAGTCCCAAGACAAACAGGGTTACACAGAGAAAACTTGTCTTGAAAAAAGCAAAGAAAAAGAATGCATTTGCCAGCATAGTTTTTAAATTTCGGGCAAGATTGTTTCCAGTGTCCCTCTCCCACAATATTAAGGAAGGAATGTATAATTCCCACCTTGAAAGTGCTTGTAAGTAAAATTTATTTTAGTTATTTTCCTATTGTTAATTTGTGTGCCTGAATAGGGTGTGGAAGAGTAGCAAGAGAAAACAAGTTGTAAGAGGTCTGAGTTGTGATTTTTCTCAGCTGTGGCCATGAGCAGCAGTAGCTGCTAATGGATACTGGTCATCGTTCTTTGAAGGACCTGATGTTTGAGGTTGATCAGCCAGTGGCAATATAATCACAAATGTGTAATTTTAGGTGACTCTTGGTGCTGACATTTCTTTAGTTAACCGAGGTGCTAGCACTTAATTGAAATTATAGGCTGTATTGTTGATCAAGGAATTTAGTTTTTAAATCTTTAAAGTAGTCTTAAAGTTTTGTAAAGAAAAATTGTTCTTTTTAAGATTTGACTAATGTTACAAAGATACAAATCATTTATTTTACTACCTATAAACTGTTTCAGCCCACTGAAGAAAAGCTATGCTAATTTATATAGCTTTGACATTTTATAATTTTCATGATTTTTAGATAAAGGATTTTATATTTAAAACTTTAATAGTCTAGTCTGAGTTCATTTATCTTTAATTTTTGAAGCGGGTAGAGTAATTCATAACAGTAATTTTATTCCTGTAATGTAATATTCACTTCAGTTCATTTGTGCATTAAAATTCCTTTAAGACCGTTATTAATGATTTATATAATGAAATGTCATATTAATCACAGAAGTTTTCACATTTTATTATTCTCTTCCATGTTAATACTATCTTTATGATCTCTATTAATGTTTTATATCCTCTAATTTCAATTATAAATCAAGAATATTTTCATGTTTTTGTTGGTATTTGCTTTTCAGGGGTGCCACCTTTAAAATTTTATGACTTTCTCCCTCCATATGAAATATAAAACATCTTTATTCATATAAAGGTAGTTAATTATGTCTTTGTTTATAGTAAACTTTCATTGACAAACTTATAGTTATAATATTTCTTTTCAAGCTCAGAGATTAGAACGACTCCGCAAAGAGAGACAAAACCAGATCAAATGCAAAAATATTCAATGGAAAGAAAGAAATTCTAAGCAATCAGGTAAATGGAAATAACTTTCATTTATGATTTGGGATTTGTATACTTAGTTTATACCATTATATATGATCTTTCATTTTTAATCTGTCCTTCTAAGTCCTTTGGGTGATACCATTTGTGATTGAGCTTTGAGCTCTGTCACTTGTGTGCATTGGTTCTGTTGGTGTAGACCCCCTTTCACACTGGTTTACAGGGCTTAATTCGGGAAGAGGGCATCTTCTAAAACCATTACTCTGGTACCTTCTTGGGACCAAGGGTAGCATATACTTATTCACATGAGTGTTTAAGTTATAGATTCATTTATATAGTTCTATTTTTTAATTTATTCATTCATTCTTTTATTTATTGTTTGTGTGTGCACACCCATGTACACATGCCACCCTGCATGTATGGAGTCAGAGGTCAACTTGTAGGAATCAGTTTTCTCCTATCGTTTAGGTTCAGGGGATTGAACACAGGTTCTTCAGCATGGCAGCCAAGACCCTTACCAGCTGAACTGTCTTGCCAGTCTCATTTACATTGTCCTAATCTAAACTTTCCCTTGCTTCAATGACCATAACCTTTTTTTTTTGCATATATGTGCTTTCAGCTTTAAATCCATTCTGTTGCTGGTATTGTTAGCATTGAGGTTTTGTGTTCATACACTGTATGCATACATAGATTGGCCATGTTGCATATTTTCAACTCGAAGAAAAAATGTTAAAGTCTTGATTACTTTGGAGATGAATCATTCTAGAAAGTGCAGTGGCAGGCCTGAAATTCCAGTGCTGAGGGCGCAGTGGTAGGATGACCTCTGGGCCTTTGCCCAGCCAGTCCTGCCAGGCAGTAAGTTCCACATCTAATAAGTGACTCGTTTTCAGCAAAATGAGGCAGAAAAATGACAGAGGAAGACACAGGACACAATCGCTGGCCTCTGCTTGAGTATGCACGCACAGTCTTGAGAATAGTCTTAAAACAGTTTGTAATGATTGAATCATTTTCTAAGACACTCTCTTTGTTTTTTCCTTTAAAAGAAATGTCCTCTTTGTTCTCCCAATATCTCCTTGGCAAGTTATAGATGCCACATAAATCTTTGTTGACTGTCTCCATTGCTGCTCAGTAATTCTAAGGCTTGCAGTATTAATGGTTGCTACGGGCCAAGCAGGGCTTCTTGATGCTGTACTCGGCACTTCATATTCTTCACCCTGTGCAAAGGTGGAGGTGGTGTTGCTTATGATTACAGGTGAGACAGGTGGGGAGACGCGATTAGCTTACCACAGTCACACAACGAGAAAGAAACATGGTTGTGCCACATTTCACATCCAGCTTTGTCTTCCCTCTTGTCTTCTTCTGCAGTGTCTTTTCACTAGATCCAATTTTTTTAGTGCCTCCCTCTAAATGATGCCTGTGCAGAACCAGACAGAGATCCCATTGACATGCTGAGTACAGCAGGACACACCTGTCATCCTAGCACTCGGGAGGCCCAGGTGAAGAATCTCAAGTTTAGAGCCGGCCTGGTCTACCTTTTCTTTTTCATAGATCTCACTGATTATGTGTCATGGGCATGTTCATTTGTGTGTGTGTGTGTGTGTGTGTGTGTGTGTGTGTGTGTGTGTGTGTGTGTGTGTATGTGTGGGTGAGAGATTGAGGTTGGGTTCCTTCCTTAGTCTGCTTCTGTTAAACATCTTTCCATTATACTTAACATGGCCTGAAAACACTTTATCCTTCACCTTGTTTTGAAATTCCTGTGTATTTCAGTGCAGTTGCTATGAATCTCCTCTAATGAAGACAGGAGATATCTTAAGCTGTTTCTTGGGCTACGCTTTACTTGCTTTCTTCACTTTCACGTTCACTATAGCATGAGTTGAACGCCTCTGCTTTCTATGCAGCAAGCAGTCCATTTCCAATTAGCGAATTGTCTTCAGCTGGCGTGTTCTCCAGCTCATCCCACCAGCTTTAACTCTGTTGAGAATTTCACAGAGCGTGCTGGAGAAATGCATACCCCCTCCAGCTTTCATTTGCAATCACTCTGTTCATTGTGTATTTACACATCCCTCCCTAAGTTTCCTTCTCTTTTCTGTCTCACATTTCAGGAACTGACTCTGTGATCATATTTCTGGAATAGCTCATTAATGTTAATGTTTGTTTATACTTTGAGAAGCTGATCTGCAGGCCATGCTGCTTCATGGCTCTTTGTCTCTGAAGTTTTCTGTAGGTGAGGCTCTATCTATCATCACAGCTTAGCATTCTTATCCTTAAGCCTACTAGAAAAGTAGAGTCAGGAGTTCACTGAGCATCTGCCTGGCAAGCTGGGTAGCACTTTGTTTTATTTTAAAATTATGTCTCTGTGTGTCTATACCTATGCGCGGTGGACCAAAGGAATCGAAACACCTGGAACTGGAGTTAAAGGGGGTTGTGAACTGCCTGACTGACACACTGGGAATCAAATTCAGGTCCGCTCAGCAAGTACCCATAACTGCTAAACCATCTTTCCAGTCTCTAGCCGTTTGTTTTCACACATCTTTCAAACACATGCTCTCTCCTGGGAACAAATGTTATATTTAAATCCTTTTGATCATCCTTGGGAATTTGGGGTCAGCACCATTTCTTCATTCTTTATCTGCTGCTTATATTTTGTCAAAACTCTTTCATCTCTTTTATTTTGTTCGTCACTAGGAGAATCAATGTAACTATCGTGAGCTCTCTTGGAATGCTCTTCTTCCTACTGATTCCATGAAAGCTAACCTTTTCTTCCTGACTCCCTCTCCTCCTTTTCTCCTCCCCATCTCTCGACACATGCGTACGTGCATGCATGTGTGGTGTGTGTATGTGTGTGTGCGCCATGGAGCATGCAGAAGGTCATAGCACAACTTTATGGAGCTGGCTCTCTCCTGCCACCTTTGTGTGAGGTTGGGTTCCAGGGGTTGACACAGGTTGTTAAGTACCTGTGCCCACTGAGCTGTCTTGTTAATCTTCACATGCTACTTTCAGCTAAAATGCCTCACTTCCTTTTCAGTGTATGCGTTCTCGTTAATTTTTACTGATAATTTATTTGTTGAAGAATAATTGTATCCCAGTTGTCTTAATATGTGTCTGTTCCTGAGCCAGGCATGGTGATGAGTGCTTTTAATCCCAGCACTCTGAGGCCAGCCTGGTCTGCAGCTTGAATTCCAGGACAGCAAGGGCTATGTAGAATAACACTGTCTCAAAAAAACAAAACAAAAGAACAATAAATATCTCTTGCTGTGTTCTGTAAACTGTCAGTTACAGCCAAAAATTGGATCAGGTTAGGGTTTAATTTTTAGTAAGAGTGTTTTCTTTGTGATGATTTTTATGTTATATCAGGAAATTGCCTGGTGGGTTTTTTTTTTTTTGAGAGTTTAAGAGTCGTGATGGAGTTAGGTGTTTGCCTATCCTTCATTAAGTTGCTCTCAACATCTTTTCACACATGGGTTGAGTGGCTGTTGCTGGGTGTTACTGGATGCAATATTTCATCAGAGGCTGTAAATGGTGTATTTTGACTTTATTCACCATTTTTCATCTGTTAATTAGTTTTTATGTATGAAAAATTTTCCATAATGTAGTTTTTGGTTATCTTTAGATACATTCCTTCAACAAAGAAAGTGTGGGTACACTTTTGTTTTATTATTATTCACAGATTTCAGAATTATGAGAGTTTTTCCTAGGGTCCTATCTAGGTGGCCAATGAAGGTTTTTTTTCTTTTGTGTCATTATAAACTCATGGTTGTTTTGTTTTGAGACAGTATCTTGCTATGTAGCTCAGGCTAGCCTTTGTAATGAATTCCTTCATAATAGCTATGGTTTTGTTTTAGAAATACCATTATCCTCTTCGCTCCTATTTCTTCCCAAATCTAGCTTCACAAGTTTCTTCAAGGCATCATGGTTCTTTTTAGTGGCAACCACAGCAACTGCAGACCGAGTGCTGGTGTGGTTTACAGGGTTAGGATTTTTCTCCTAGTTTTGTTAGGGTAAGCACAGACAAGTAGGTTAATGCTGTAACTGAAATGTAAGTTTATGACTTAGAGTATTTACTGTTCTGTTTTCACAAGCTCTCACTATCTTGCTTGTCTCTCAGGTTGGCCTCAGATTTACCCTCCTCCCACCACAGGCATGTGCTCCATGTGCCTGGCATGAGAAAAGCTCATGTGTCTTTTCTGCTTATTGTGAAAACCTTGGTCTTGGATAGAAATACCAGCATCCTTACCAGCAGTGTGATTATTAAGAAGACTTACAGCTTGTTTTGTTTTTTTGTCTGTTGAACAAAATATTCTGTTACGAAATGTACAGACAAATTTATCATGGGGTTAAATCTTAATAATTTCTTTCTTTAAAATTAAACTACTAACTCATTATTACATGTAGACTCTTTCATTTCACTTTTCTTTTGGTTTTAGAGATTATACTTTTAATTCAGTATCTATAGAAACTGTGGATTTTTTTTTTTCAGATTTTTTAATGGGTAGAATACAGGATGTGTGAGAGGAGAGTTAGGACAGCTTCCACGCTTGGGGCATCATGGGATTGAGTTGCTACTTAGAAGGGGAACATTGACTGGGCGTTGGTGGCACACGCCTTTAATTCCAGCACTCGGGAGGCAGAGGCAGGCGGATCTCTGTGAGTTCGAGGCCAGGCTAGACCGACAGCCTCCAAAACAGAGAAACCCTGTCTTGTAAAAAACCAAAAAAAAAAAAAAAAAAAAAAAAAGAAGGGGAACATTGAAGAAAGATCAACTTGGGAAAGGCTTGAGAATTTGTTTATGGTCATATAAAATAAAAATAACTTGTTGGCACCGAGTGGGAATGTCAGATGTAAAATGAATGTGTGTGAATGTGATGTTAGGCCTGGAAATAGTCATTAGGAGTCACCAACATAGATATTGGATATTTATTTATGTCTTCACCGTGTGTGTAGTGTCTGTGTGAGTGTGAGTGAGTGTGTGTGTGTGTGTGTCGGGTGCAGCATATGTGGAATTCAGAGGAGAATTGATGCAGTCACTTTCCTTC